TCGATTCCTTCTAGTGTATTTTTCATTTCATTTTTTGTGTTGTTCATCACTGTTTGTTCTTTAGTTCTTCTAGGTCTTTGTTAAACATTTCATGTATTTTCTGAATCCGTGCCTCCACTCTATTTCCGAGATTTTGGATCATCTTTACTATCATTACTCTGAATTCCTTTTCACGTAGGTTGCCTATTTCCTCTTCATTTATTTGGTCTTGTAGGTTTTTACCTTGCTCCTTCGTCTGTAACATATTTTCTTGTCGTTTCATTTTTTTTGGTGGGTGGGGCTGTGTTCCTGTTTTACTCGTTGTTTAGCCTGAGGCGTCCAGCGCTGGAGTTTGCAGGCAGCTGGACAAAAGCCACGTCTTGTTGCTGAGATGAGGACCTTTGGGAGACCTCAGTCTGATTAATATTCCCTGGGGTCTGAGGTTCTCTGTTAGTCCTGTGGTTTGGACTTGGTGCTCCCACCACAGGAGCTCAAGCCCAACCCGCTGTATGGGAACCAAGATCCTGTAAGCTGTATGGCGTGGCAAAAGAAAAAAGAAGGAACAAAAAAGAGTACAATAACAAAAAATAAAGAATTAAATTAAATTAGGAAAATAAAAAATATATTAGAAAAATATAAGTGAAACAGTAACAACAAGTTAAAACAGAAGCACAAGAGCAAAAAAACAAAAACAAAAACAAAACCTGGAAAAGGCCTTAACTGTGGGGGTGGGGCTTAGGCGGGCGCGGGGACCTACACTAAGGACTTGTGCCACTGACAATGGCAGCCTGGCTGGAGGGGTCGTTTGAGTGTAGAAGTAAGGCCCTGGGTGGGGGTATGCGGACAGGGCTTAGGCTCAGCACAGCCGGAGGGGCCCTCTGAGCACAGAGGATCAGGCCAGGGACCTCAGCAGGGTCCCAGGGCCCAAGTGGGCAGGGGAAATGCCAGCCGCATTCCCTTCCGATCCTCCCATGTCCCTAGGATATCTCCCCATCACCGTTGCTCCCCTCACCATGGGTGGGCCCCTCTGGGCATGGGAACCCCTCCTGTCCCCCAGCCGCCCCTCCAGGGCACTGGTCCCATCCTGCCTCCACTTCTCCTCCCCTGTCCGCCCCCCTCCCATGTCCTACCTGGTCGCTCAGGGGCTCATCCCATCCCCTTAGGTGTTCGTTGTCCCCCACCAGTGCCTGGCAGGTGCCCAGTCATGTGATTCAGTTATAAATATACAAATATCTATTCATTTTCAGATTCTTTTCCCATATAGGTTACTACACAATATTGAGTAGAGTTCCCTGCACTATACAGTAGATCCTTGTTGATTATTTTATATACAGCAGTGAGTATATGTTAATCCAACCTCCTAATTCATCCCTCCCCTACCCTTTCCCCTTTGGAAACCGTTAAGTTTGGTTTTTGTTTTTAATTCAGGTGTATTTATTGAAGATAAAAAACTAGAAATTAATAAAAGAGTAAGTGGATTACCACAGATGGCTAACACAGATGCCTGTTTGTTTTTGAGGTCTTTGACTGTTTCTTGTTTGTAAATAAGTTCATTTGTATCATTTTTTAGATTCCAAATATAAGTGGTATCATATGATATTTGTCATTTTCTAACTCACTTCAATTAGTATACTTATCTCTAGGTCCGTTCATGTTGCTGCAAATGGCATTATTTCATTCTGTTATGGCTGAATAGTATTCCATTGTGTATATGCACCACTTCTTTATCCATTCATGTGTCGATGGATACTTAGGTTTCTTCCATGTGTTTGCTATTTTAAATAGTGCTCAATGGACATTAAGGTGCATGCATCTTTTGGAATTAATGGTTTTCTCCTTATGTATGCCCAAGTGTGATTACTAGATCATATGGTAGCTGTATTTTTAGTTTTTTAAGGAACTTCCATACTATTCTTCATAGTGGCTGTACCAGTTTACATTCACACCAACAGTGTAGGAGGGTTTCCTTTTCTCCACACCCTCTACACCATTTGTTTGTAGACTTTTTGATGATGGCCATTCTGAACAGCGTGAGGTGATACCTCATTAGAGTACTGATTTGCATTTTTCTAATAATTAGGGATGTTGAGCAGCTTTTCATGTGTTTGTTGGCCTTCTATATGTCTTCTTCGGAGAAATGTCAATTTAGGTTTTCTGCCCATTTTTTTATTGGGTTTTTTTTTTGATATTGAGCTGCATGAGCTGTTTGTATATTTTGGAGATTAATCCTTTGTCCGTTGATTCATTTGCAAATATTTTCTCCCATTCCTAAGACTGTCTTTTCATCTTGTTTACGGTTTCCTTTGCTGTGCTAAAAGCTTTTCAGTTTAATTAGGTCTCATTTGTTTATTTTTGTTTTTCTCATTACTTTAGGAGGTGGGTCAAAAAAGATCTTAGTGCGATTTATGTCAGAGTGTTTTGCCTATGTTTTCCTCTAAGAGTTTTATGGTGTCTGGCCTTAGATTTAGGTCTTTAATCCATCTGGAGTTTATTTTTGTGTATGGGGTTAGGGAGTGTTCTAATTTCATTCTTTACATGTAGCTGTCCAGTTTTTCTAGCACCACTTATTGAAGAGGCTGTCTTTGCTTCATTGTATATCCTTGCCTTCCGTTATAGATTCGGTGACCACAGGTGTATGGGTTTCTCTCTGGGCTTTCTATCCTGTTCCATTGATCTGTATTTGTTTTTGTACGAGTACCGTAGTGTCTTGATTACTGTAGCTTTGTAGTAGTATAGTGTGAAGTCAGGGACCTTGATACCTCCAGCTCCATTACCCCCGCCCCCGCCCCACCAAGATTGCTTTGGCTACTCAAGGTATTTCCATACAAATTGTAAAATTCTGTTCTAATTCTGTGAAAAATGCCATTGGTAATTTGATAGGGAGTACACTGAATCTGTAGATTGCTTTGGGTAGTACAGTCATTTTCACAACATTGATTCTTCCAATCCAAGAACATGGTATATCTCTGCATCTGTTTGTGGCGTCTTTGATTTATTTCATCTGTATCTTATACTTTGCTGCATACAGGTCTTTTGCCTCCTTAGGTATGTTTATTTCTAGGTATTTTATTCTTTCTGTTGCAATGGTAAATGGGAGTGTTTCCTTAATTTCTCTTTCTGATCTTTCATTGTTAGTGTATAGGAATGCAAGAGATTTCTGTTTATTAATTTTGTATCTTGTGACTTTACTAAATTCGTTGATTAGCTCTGGTAATTTTCTGGTGGCATCTGCACGAACTGCAGATTAAATCCCCATAATCGGCCCATGTTATGTTTTTCTAAAAACTATAAGGGAGGAGACAAAACCATATACAAGTTGGCCCTAAGGAACACGAATAAACACATACACACACTTACAGGCACAGTGGGAAGACTCCGCCTGCCCCCCCTTCTCCTGCTCTGTCTTCTGCCAGAATGCACTGGCAACAGGGGCTCACTCCAAATCCCCCACCCCCACCAGGACCAACGCGGCAGCAGGCAACTGGGTGATGATGATCAGTGTGCAGGATTTTAAACTAGGATTATGAAGTTAAACAATACTAGAAATAGTGGGCAAACAGACCAAACCAGCACTTTATTTTAAAAAGTTTTATTCTGCAGATTTAGAAATTTGAGATTTTTTTTAATAACTGCAAAAGAAATTCAGTCACACCTATTGATTAACAGAATGTAGTGGTGTATTATCTAAACAGAAATTGTGCTGATGTGCCATAATAAATTGTCTATTAGTAAAAAAATACACTTTAGGGCACAGCATCATATCACAAATTACAATAGGGATACTTTGCAAGAATTTATTCAAACTAGAGAATTCTGAGTAACTATCTTTTGAATGCAGCATTTAAAAATGTAACAACTCTGTGCATTCTTTTTCTTAAAAAACTGACCTTGTGTGTGTCATAGAAATGCTGCTTTATTGCTGCAGAGGTCAAAGTTCAAGGCTCAAGAGGTACAGGAGAGAATACAAAGGTAGCCTTAAGAAACTTGGTTTTGTTTATGTATAAAAAAGGTAAAGTTTATAAAAGTTAATTTACAAACCAAGAACAAAGTGGTATGCACGCCTTATGTACAAGCATCCTTAAAACATCAAAAGTTTTTAAATGCATAGCCTAAAAAAAAAAGAGAGAGAGAGAGAGAGAAAGCAACCACTGCCCCTTGCCAGACAAACAAAACAAAACAAAAAACCCACCCCAAATCACACCATTATTTTCTTCTGGGTGATTACACATTTCTGAAACCACCAAATCCACAATTCACTCAGTCTTTTCATGATACAGTATCTAGATGTGCACAAAAGCCATAAAAACTTAGTAATACAAATGATCTAA